AGGAAAAGCACCTTTCCCCCCAACACATCACACTGCCCAGTGCTTAGCTGAACCACCCCTGGCAGCCTCCTGCCAAGGATGAGAGCACGGGCTGACCGAGAGGGACTCTACAGGTGGCAGGAAAACAACTGTGTCTCCTAGGGCAAAACCTCAGCAGGGCAACCAGGAGGACCAGAAAACCATTTCTTCTGCCACTCAAGGACAGAGCACGTGCAGCACTGGTTACAGCTCTCCCTCTGGTCTCCCTTGCCAGGGAGGGGAGTGACTCAGGACATCAGGAGCACCACGCTGGCTCCCAGGATGTCTGGCTGTCTTGGGATGCTGCAGACCCCTCGGTGACTGGTAGTGCAAAGCTGAGGGCATGCTCTGCACTGGGGCAACTGGGCCACACTTCAGCCCACCCTCCTGGGGAGCAGCAGGCTGCTGCAAGCAGGGGGACTCGGGAGGGAAAGGTGATTTTAAATACTTACAAATATAAAGAAGTTGAAAAGAAACATCAGGTACTTCATGCAGCTCAGACAGTCTCCCTCCATGGTCTTCAGGCTCCTCGATCTGATTCTTCCTGCAAAACACCAGCACATCCTTAGGACTCTCACTGCTCAGTGGAGTGACACGATCCAATCTCTGGTTTTATTTCCCCTGAGATCCTGTGGCACTCATTACACAGGAGAGCTCATTTCTACCTGAGCAGGGCAACACAGCACAGGCTGCTAAGAGGTGAGGATGACTGCTAGGTCCCTCTGCATTCGTCCAGGTCTAAAGGCACCATCTGACCTCTCAGCCAGCACTTAAAGCTGCTCCACGTCAGAGCCCGAGCACTTCAGCGTGTACCAGACCTATTATCAACCACCTAGTGCAGACAGGCACTAGAGCTCTGCACTGGGGGAGTGAAGACCTAAGGCTGTTCACAAACGATGCCAGCAACATGCAAATGATGTTACCTCCAGATAACACCATCATGAGGCCACTTGTGCCAGCTGCTGCCTCACCACTTAGCTGCAGGTACCCACGTCCCCGGTGACGAGCTGCAGGGAGGAACCAGCGGCTGTGAAAGGACAACCCTGACCCACGGGGCTGCTTCCTCCTTCCACATTCCTTTCTAAGCCACACACACACACAGAGGGTGAATCTGGTGAGTTCCTCCTCCTACAGCCCGAAGCACAGCAGATAAAAACTGAAGGCATACGTCTTCATCTGCTTGTTAAAAACATCTTCTCCCCTCTCCTCCTGGCGCCAAGCTTGTGACAGATGAAGTTCTCCTCTGTGGGAGACATTTACTGCTAAGCAAACAGCAGCAGCCAGAGCTGCAGAAGACAGTGGCTGACAGATGCTTTCCCTGGCTGGTCCCATCACAGACCTGTGAGACATGTTTGGTTTTCTCTGGAACGCAGCTATAAACGTTCAGCCTTTTCTCAGGCAGCTTGTTCTACACGTCTCCCCCCAACAGGAATTTTATCTTGTCAGATGATGGGGAGGCTAAAGCCCCCAGCAGCAGAGCCAGGGAATGGCAGCCCAGCAGCTGTGATCCGTTTGGAATCCAGACTAGCTTTCCAAGGCAAGGCATTTTTTTGTTCTCCAGCCACCACTTATTTCCTCCCTTCTGAGATTTGCTTGTTCTCGCCTTGCAGCCACCTTGAACTTCAGATATCTAAAGGCAGCTGCTCAACCACACCCTCAAAACCAGCTTCCAAACGTCTCTTTGCTACCACTGACATTCCCCTCTACCCACACATCACACTGGATGGAAATCACTTGGATTGCTCCTTTACCTTGGATGTGAATCAGTAAAAACCCAGGTTGGACAGGACCCTGGGATGTCCTTGAGCACAAACACCCACTGCCTCCAACCTCAGCCAGTTCCAAAGTTTGATCCAACTTCAAAGGTGGAGCAGGTTGCTCAGAGTCACAGGAGTTCAGTTCTGAGTATCTCCAAGGCCTGAGATTCCCCAGCCTCCCAGGGCACCCCTTCCAGTGTCTGACCACCCTCCTTGTGAAAAGATTTTCCAAAGCAGCAGGCCAGGGTGTGTCCAAGTTACCTCTGTCCCACCCTCAGGCAAACTCCTTGCTCAGTCATGTCACTTCTATCACATGGTCCATGTAAATACCTTTCGGCCATCAACCTGCAGGAAGACCCCATCCACTGAGCTGGTCCCCTGCAGCACCTCCTGCCAGTGATCAACCAACCAGCCTGAGGAGCACATGGTGCTAACTCACACCTACTTCCACCTTCATGCACACTGCAACCAAGCAAGAGCAGAAGACCTGTTTGAAGCTTTCCAACACCACCACCAGTCAAGTTTTAAAGGAATTAGAACAAGGGAACCACTCTCTCTCAAGGCAACACTTCCATCTGCATCAATTTCTAGACACTGTCCCAGCTGGAACGTCACTAGGAATGCCCTGGAGGCTCAAAGCTGCCCCAGTGGTGAAGGACCACCACAACCTGGCACTGCTCCATTGCCTCCTCTCCCCAGCAGCATGGCAGCCCACCCTTTGGCTTGCAGGTGTGGGGACCTGGCTCAGCAGACATGCTTTGCTTCACAGAGGACCCCCTCCCAACAGGACTTCTGTGTTGACTCTCTGCAAGCAGGATCCAGCTCACTGAAACCCAAGTGGCTGGGCCTGCCAAGGGATGTCTCTGCTGGGTGATGCCTTCCAGAAAACCCTCTCAGAGTATTATGTCCACGCAGTCTGCTCCTCTAGACAGAGCAGTGAGAGGGGCAGTTTAACTAGGAGAGGGAAGGGGGTGCCCTGCTGCAGCACACCTCACCAGTGGGATGGCATGCAGAAGGAAAAGGCCTGAAGCAAGACTCACCTTCACAAATCCTGGGGCTTGAGGCACGGTGTCTGTTCTAGCCTTTAATTGTTCCTGTGTCCCATGTATCTCCTTCTAGCCAAGCTTGTCCTGTAGGAAAAAATAATATGCAATTACTGCAGAAGTCAATAAAATGCAATCATTTTAAACACACAATTTATTAAAACACACCATCCTGATGAATATGCTCCGTCTAATTGCCACCTTAATTTAGTGTACATTAGCACTAATGAAGAGCTTTTAATACCCAGTGAGGGATCCAGCTCCTGAGAATCCTTTAACAACCTTTGGGGTGTTTTCAATGCCCACAGGCCACAGGTAAATGTACAGTCCCACCAGGCACACACCTCCTACCACAACAGGACTAGTTGGATACCAGCTGCACCTTCAATAGTTTATAGGAGGGTTAGACAAACTCTCATCTGCTGTGACTTTACAGCCCATTTAGCAGGAAAATGGGAAAGGCAGAGGAAGGGAGATGGAATGCACCTTTGGGAAGCCCAGCCCAGCCATGAGGTGGAGGCAAGGGCCCGAGACGCCAGGCGCTGTCCCAGGATACTACAGACAGCTCTGTCCCAGGCTCCTCCAGCCAGCTCCCTGCCCACCTGAGACAACTGCTTCCTCTCCCTCTGCCTCCTCCTCACTGCCTGGGAAGCAGCAATGGAGAGGAACAGCAAAGTCACCCCACAGACAGATCCCAGAGCCACAGAATCCCAGTTTGGTGGGGCTGGAAGGGGCCTCTGGAGATCACCTCGTCCAACCCCCCTGCTCCAGCAGGGTCACCACAGCAGGGTGCTCAGGGTGGTGTCCAGGTGGGTTTGGAATCTCTCCAGAGGAGACTCCACATGTTTCCCACAAACATTTGTGAACATGCCTTTGAAAAGTGCCTCCCATTCAGGCTTCTGTGAGCACAAGCCTGTAATTTCTTGTCAGCTTTCAAGGTGGCTGGAAAGATTACAGTATAAGACATAAAATGAATATTCATAGACCTTTTGTTCTGCATTAATCCCTCACATTTAATGTCCTTGCCCTGCCTCTGTGGACCTGCACCTCTGAAGGATGAGCAGGGATGTTTTCCCTTTGGAAATCTGGAGGCTACAAATATCTACAGCCAATTGAGCTGTCTCAGCTGCAATGCTCTGAAGGCATCTGCTGAGCAGTGCCCAAACTGTCCCACCTGCTGTGTACCAAGCCCAGCTTAGCCACCAGCCTGCAGGCTCAGAGGGTGCTGTGGGACCAGCTGGGAGAGGGTTGCAGCAGGCTCAGGGACTGGTGGAGAGAGGCCTGGAGAGTCTACAGCCAAGGCAAGAGACTGTCCCTGCCTCACAGTGGAGAGCTCCTCTTTGAGAGCCAGAGCCCAGTGCCCACCATCACCTTTTTATCCCTTCCCTTTGTATGCGTGGACACTTCACCCTGTTCTACATGTGCAATGGAGAGATGCTTCCTTCAGCTGTCCTTCCTTCCTGGGAGAGCTGCTGCCAGGAGAAGATGGCTCCCACCTGAAATCAGAGCTGACACTGTGCCATCTAAACCTGTCATTAGGAGGGTAACCAGAACTACAGGATCCCTGCCCCTGCTGTGTGCACAGTCACAGCCCTGTGAGCCCTCGAAGGTCTGTGTGGTAGAGGAATGGTGTTCTGTCATTCCTATTAAGTCACAACATTTTAAAGACACTACAGCACCACGGAGGGGAAGATCCCCAAGGGTTCAGTGGGCACCAGTGGGTGCTGCAGCAGAGGGGAGGGAGGGAGTGGCTGCTGCCAGGCAAGAGCAAACTCCAGCTCACTGGAGACAGCCCCAAGGGGAGGGAGCCCCTGCCAAGGAGATGTCTTTGGGTAATAGCTTCAGTGCTGTCATTAGGGAGAACTGCAGGGAGTGCAGACCCACCGTGGCTGGAGTGAGCTGATGCCTTTCCCTGAGCCCCTAGGGAAACACAGGGGAAGTGGAGCACAGGCTGAGGCTCCTTCCATGGGGCTGGAGAGCCAGAGCAAAGAGGGAAGGGGCAAAAAGAGGCTGGCATAGCCAACAGGTAGCAAGTAGAACAAGAGACAATGGAGAAGCAAGGGCTGCCCTTGGGAGAAATCCAGTCTCCTGCACGTTGGCTAGTGCAGGAAGGCCACCAGATGCTTGCAGGGCTCCTGCCTCACAAGTGCCTCTGGCTGCTGCCAGTCCCCTTGGCTCACCACACCGAGCAGGACCTAGAGAAACTGAGGCACACAGCAGCCCTAGAGACACAAACCATGTGCTGCTGGAGGCCAGTGCTTTGGGGTGAAGGGTGAGTAGGAATGTCCCTGTGGAAGCAGGATCAGATTAACAGCAGCCCTTTGCAATGGCTTCAGAAGGCAGTGAAAGACTTGCTGCTCCTGAACCCCAGCTGGGCACGAGCTGCCAGCCCCACACACCTCCCTGGCACCACTGCTCCTCAGAAGTGACTCCCTGCAGTGCCATCCTGTCCTGCCCAAACAACAGAGCCAGGGCAGTGGCACGGCTCCAGTACCCCACAAAAACCTCACCAGGGTCCCACAGGGCACTCACTGTGCAACTGCCACCAGCCAGGGGACCTGCACCAGCCCA